GTATCCTACCACAGTGTATTTGAAAATGATCGTCTACAGAATAGGAGAGTGAAAATCACTCCATTTTTACCTCACTCTTCATGAAGCAGAACATGGTCTTCTTTTCTTCATTGACTTCAATTCCAACTCGTTTCTGTGCAGTGGTAAATCCTTTGCTTCAGGGATAGGATTTTGCGATTTCTCACTTGCATAGAACACCCAGAGCTCATCACAGCAATTGCCCTCCCTAATAGCCATCACCCATTGAACCCTTCCCCCACACCCCTCTCTCTAGCAATCCTCGGTTTGTGCTCTAAGGTGGAGTCTGTTCCTCATTGGCCTATCTTTCTCCCTTCACTATATTCATCTGTTTTCTTTCTGAAAATTCCATAGGAGTCAAGTCATAGGGTATTGGTCTTGTCCTACTGATTTTGCTTAGCTTAATCCACTCCAGATCCATCCACATCCTTGCAGATGGTAAGATTTCATTCTTTTTGAAACTGGGTCCTATTCCATTGTGTATAGATATAGATAGATATAGATATAGATATAGATATAGATATAGATATAGATATAGATATAGATCACCCACATCTTCTTTCTCCATTCCTCAGTGAATGGACATTGGGACTCCCTCCATAGTTTTGCTACTTACTGTTGATAATGCTGCTATAAACATCACGATGCTTGTACCCCATTAAATGTGCATTTTTGTATACTTTGGGTAAATACCTAGGAGTGCAACTGCTGGATCCTAGAGTTCAGTTTTTAGCTCTTGGAGGAACCACCATACTTTTTTCCAGAGTGGCTGCAACAACCCACATGCCCACTGACGGTGCAGGTGGGTTCTGCTTTAAGCAGAATATCATCTACCAGCAATTTCCTAAGGAGGAAATGGAAAACCTGTGGGATAACCTGACTCACCCAGCGTCAGGCACGAAACTCACCCCAGGGTTGCTGATGCCAAGCCCCTTGAAACCACCAGCATGCCTCTATCCAGGAGAATTCCCAAAGAATCTCCTTCTGACTTCAGCACCCATGAAACTGGGTGTCCCCAGCCCAAGTTCCCGGATGGTGGCAACACATACGTAGACAGAAAGCGCTCTCAACAGCGGGCACGAGTGTGGCCTGAATTGCTGCATGATGCTGGCCAATTCTCATGAGCTTTCTGCCCAAATTGATACCGACTTGGACAGAAAGCTCGTGAGAATTGGCCAGAAACCCCCAGAAAACTCCTTTCCAGCTACATGGACCTTCAGGGGACCCAACAGGGCCTGGCCCCAGGTCCTGAGTTGGTCGTGGCCTGAACCATGTGAGAAAGTGCTCTCAAAGCCAGGTGCACACATGGCCAAAACCTCCCTCTGCTCAGCCCTCTGGGGTGCCAGTCTCAGCACTGGCAGATCGGGCCTGACATGCCACTAGGCCCTAACCTGAACCCTAAGTTGGGTTTTCAGGCTTCCATCCCCAGGGGCCTATCCCCCAAGCCCTCCAGATTGGGGACCCCTGAGCCATACCACAGAACTCCGCCTGCCACACAGAAGGCAACCGTGCCATTGGGAGCTGCACGAAACCCTCATACCTGGAGAAACCTGCATTCCCCCCTCAGGCCACCCTGACCTATGGTGACCCCTTCGAACCACGTGATGCTCAGGCTCACGCCCTCCCACATCACAGACCCCAGGGAGCTTGCCTCCACGGGGGCCCTCAGGGGAGCCACGTGGGCCCATCTCATGGACCACATGGCCACAACATTCACCTATCGAGAAAGCGCTCCCAACACCAGGTGGGTGCCCAGCCAGAATCACCGCCCAATGCCAGCCAATTCTCATGAGCTTTCTGCCCAAATCAACATTGATTTGGGCAGAAAGCTCATGAGAATTGGCTGGAATCCCCGGTCGAACTTGCTCCCAGAAGCGGGGTCCTTCATGGGAGCCACCTAGGCCTGACCCAGGGTCCTGCTTGGTCATGGACGGAAGCCTGTCTGAGAGGCTTCCGTCCAGTGTGGCCCATGTGTGGCCCAGATCTCCTCCGAATGCCTACCCAACCTCCCTCTCCTCAGACCCCCTGGGAGACCCACTGGGAGGTGAGGCCTCCATGCCCCTTGGCCTGAAGCCCAACCCTGGGTTGGGCTCTCAGGCTTCTGTCCCCAGAGTCCTGGCCCTGAAGCCCCCCAGATTGGGGACCTCTGAGTCACACCCCAGGAGTCCTCCTGCCCCCCCCAGGAGGAAACCATGCCCTTTGGAGCTGCACAGAACCCTCAGAACAGGAGAAACTGCGTGCCCCACTGAGGTCACTGCCAACATTGGCAGCTCCCCTGACCACAAACCCGGAACCTCATGCCCTCCATTAACCCCCTTGGTGATCCTGCCTCTGTACCCACAGATCTTTCCTGGACTCCCAGGCTCTCATGGGACTCTTCAAGAGGCATATTCTGAGAACAAAAGTCAGGTCAGGGCCACAGAAACCACTGGTGGTTATAATGAGACTCTGAGATGTCAGTGGAGTCCCAAGCCATAGGCCATCTCAGAGTTTGTCTGCAAAGACACAGTTGGTAGGAAACACAGATGCTGACAGAGGGTAGAGAAGATGGGAAAAGCTATGTTTTTTGTAGCCTAGGACAGGCCCGTGCCAGTGCCACAGAGGGCCCAGGAAGCCAGGTGCGCCATAACTGTGGAGGCCGAGAAAATTAAGGCCATCCCACCTCAAGTTTAGCTGATGTGGGAAACAGAGGGAGAAGAAAATCATTAAAATTCCTCACCTATTGACAAGCCCTTGAAACAGACAGAGTGGCTCTCCCCTGGGGACTTAACTGCCCTCACGCTGAGATTTTGCGAAGGACAATCCTAGCCTGACCGACCCCCTACCCCGACAGGTACAACCAGAATTCTGTAAGTCTACTTTAACAATTCCTTTAGGAAACTTTATCTCTAAACCTCCAAGATAGTGTTGAGAATCATTCCCAAGTATATGACCCACTGGTATACATCTAAAGGGTCTCACAGGAAGATTTTTATTATTGGTAATGAATAACCTTTTCCTCAGACAACAGCTAGCCCCTCAAGGTCCTGGAGACCTCGCTTCCAAAATTCCTTAGAGACTTACATCATCCATAACCCCCTTTGTCCTCACCCCCTGCCGAGTCCAACCCTACTCTGCCTTTAAAAACTCTGACTGTAATCTGGTTCGGGGTCCAAGTCCCTACTCCGCTGTGTCGTGTATACTTGGGCCCAAGTTTAAGCTTGTCAAATAAACCCTCACGTGATTGCATCGGTGCTTGGCTCCTTGGTGGTCTCTCAGACGTGAAAACTCGGGCACAACAATAACATTGCTGAGGGCTCATTCAGATTCGTCCTGAAGCCCACACATGCTGGATCCTCTTCTAACTCAGGAGAACCCTAAATGTGCTCATGGTCTTGGCCTGAACAAGATGACCATCAGTGTGGTATATAACCTGAAAGATATAACCACAAGGCAGTGGGGACTGACTCAGTTAAACAATACCTATGTTGAATTCCACCACAGACAAACATGTTGGGGGAAACTCGAGGCTGTCAGGGAAATGGAGGGGGGGGGATTCCTGAGGCCTTAACTTTTGGCCAATCTCACTATCATCTTTCTTTTCATTCAAGTACAGGGGCCGGGTTCAGGCAGGATAGATCACAGTGTCTTCCCACTCTGCCACTGGAAAGGAAGAGCCCTCTCCACTATCCAACATTTTGCAGATCTGGGGTGTGGGAAACTACCACCCGTGGGCCAGTTGGACCTCCCCCTATATTCTCGTAATCAGGTGTGGCTAGAACATTAGTTATGGATGGTCTGTGGCTGCTTTCAAGCCACAGTGCAAGAGTGCAGTCATTGTCAGAGTCACCATGTGGACTACAACACCTAACAGAAAATCTTTACAGAAGACATTACAGAAAAGTCTTTGTCAATCCCTGGTCTCAAAGATCGTAGGATCATGTCCCTTATTTGAGTAGAATGTAGCGCCTCTGGGGCAAATCTAATTTTTTCACTCCCAGAGACAAGGACTTACATCCTTTTAGCCATAGCGCCATCTCCATCCTCCTCTACTGACACCTTGAATGGCCCGTCTACAAGTCTGCAGTCCAATGGGAATTCACTGTCATTTCCATGGTAGTGATGTTCAGAAACGGAGCTGTAAGTGTGAGCTTGTGAGGGTAAGCGTGTTTCCTCTTTGGTAGCCACAGTGTGCAAGGAGAATACAATACAATAGCGTGCTTTCTGTCCCCCAGGAATGACCACGCAATGTGGTTGCATAGTGATCTCAGAAGGAAGCCACCTTCATAGAACAAAATTAATCTGCAAGGACTCCCAAGTCCCTTGTCCTGGACACTAGGTTCCACTGAGGCTGGGGGCACACAGAGGGGCAGAGACTCCCCCTGCCCATCAGGGATTTGAAGGACACCTTCTGTTCCAGGACAAAAGATCCCAAAACCATTCATCCACCTGTCACCCAGCCAGGCATCTGTAAGAGAGATCTACTCCAAGCAGAAAGGACAGACTGAGAGACAGGTGGCAGCCTTGTGTGACAAGTGCCACAACAGGGGACACTCAGGAGGACTGGGGGTGTGCAGGGTTGGACAACCTGGGGGTGGGGGACCAGGAATGCTCCAGGAGGGTGATCACAGCTGTGATGCGATGGGGGATCCTCTGGAGGACTGGGGGTATGCAGGGTTGGCCAGACCAGGGGACAAGGGGACCAGGGGTGCTCCAGGAGGATGTCACAGTTGTTCCCTTGTGTGGCTACACGTGTCAGTGTGACTGGGCATTGGCCAGGCTGGAAATGACAGCACAGGCGAGAGGTGGTGACCCTAAACTATCTCTTGCAAGGCAAAAGTTCGGTAACAAAATTTCTTACAGTACGCTTTCATGTCACATGCATCTGTGAGTCCCTAAAGCTGATTGTGTAGAACATGAAGTACGTAGTGGGCCACGGCTTTCAAACCTATGGTGCTGGCAGCAGAGCACATTGATATTTCTTTTGGCTGTTTTCACAGCAGAATGACTTTTCCCACCTTCATTTCCAATCCCAGGACAGTGAACGAAGGAACACAGACCTACACTTTGAAAAGTCAACACAAATCTGCAAACCCAAGTTCTCACAGGAGCTAAAGGTTCAGGACCAGGATGACAGAAAGGGGAGGCTGACAGCAAGGAACCAAAGGAACATGTCATGTGCATGGGAGCTGACCCACTTCTCTACCGTTGGAAGCAAGCCATACCTGACAGGAGGGAGTCCCACCTGCACCTGGTCCATCTGTTTGCTGCCCTTGAGCAGAGCGGAGGATGGGCTGAGCTGGGTGTGGCTGTCGGAGGGAGATGGCCAGCTGGCCACAGATGTTACCTGCCAAGCACATATAGGCCCATCTCCTGGTCCTCAGCTAAGATGAAACAATCATTGTGTTTAGTGACCTATTTCCGGGGACAGGTCCTGTGCTCCGTGCTTTGGTGACTATATCTTCTCTTATTGTGTTCTTTAAAAACACCTCAGGCAGGTAAGATTGACATACAAGAAGCTGTCCTATAGTTAATGTATGTAACTTGACCTTGACCCTAACCCTAATACCTAGTTAAGAGATACTCGATTTAGAATACTGCTCATCAATTAGAGGATGGTTTTCAGGAGCTAAGGAATTCAGGGACCAACTTTCTTCGGTCTTACTCTCCCTTGAATCCAGTAAATCCGAACCCATTCGGCCACGTGCTATCTGGAGAGTGGCCACACGGGGGCAATAGTGCCCCAAACCCCACTGCAAAGCCAATTCTTCCTTCATCCTGTCAAACCTTGTTCATTCAATGTTTACAGATTATGGTAGAGATGATGAAAAGTGTGACTTTGCTGAATTTTTAAAAAAATGAAGTAATTCTTTCACCCTGTTAAGAATAGAGCTTCGAGAGCACATGAAGGCCCAGGGGCCTGGGAAAGGGCTACTACTATGGAATCTCTTCAGGTCTACTTAGGAAACAAGGATGGCTTCTACTCCACTTCTCTGCAGGAAGAATTTGTGTCAATTAACAGCCCTGAATCCACACAAAATACTGCAGCTCAGAGGAAAACAAAGGAGAATCAACAGCCTCCAGAAGCAGAGAAAGAACCACACCCAGGAACAAAGAGAGACCACAGCTGCTCTACTCAGGCCAATTTGCATTTCTGTAGATCCTCTGGAGCTAGAATGCCCTAGTGTCCTGGGGGTTGTGGGTCAGGCGGAGTGCACACCCTGATGCTACCCTTTGGAACCCGTGAAAGCCTCCTGGTCCCTTCCTCCATGTGACACCCCCTACCTACCCCTTTACGACTCCATCCTACTTCTTGGAACTCCCACTCCCTTTTTTGATGCCATCGTTCACTTTTCCCATCACTGCCATTATATATAGTACATTGAACTACTTACTATTCTGTCATTTAAATGTTTTTTGCATTGTATGGTGGGAATTGATACCTTGCATCATCTACCCTAATATAGAATCCCTTGTCGCATTGCATGACTTCACTGTGGACTCTGAATGCCCTCACAGTGTCGTGGGGCTAGTGTCCTGGGCAAGGTCCTCACTAAGCTGGCTCAGCAGTTGCAGTGAAGGCCTGACCCAGGCACTGCTATTTGTGTGCAAGCCAAAACCTTGGTTTGGGTTCAGAATTGCTCATGGCCCCTCAGCCACATCAGATGGCTTGGGGGCACACCCTGAAGACACTGGCTAGTCCAGTGTTGCCCTGGGGAATCTCCATGGAACAGCCTTTGTGTCCAGTGGGAGAACTCCATAGGAGCAGGGTGGATGGGAGTCAGAACTCCTGAGATAAAATCCATTGTGGAGACTGCCCAGAACTTAAAAACATTTAAAAATAGAGCTACCGTACAACCCAGCATTCGCACTCCTAGGTATTTATCCCAAAGATACAGATTGAGTGAAAAGTAGTGGTACCTGCCCCGCCCCCTATGTTCATTGCAGCATTATCCATTCTTGACAAACTATGGAAAGAGCCCAGATGTTCATGGACAGATGAATGGAAAAGAAGAGGTGGTTCATATCTACAACAGAATATTATTCAGACATCAGAGAGGATGAAGGCTTACCATCACATCCACCTGGCTGGAACTGGAGGGTATTATGTTCAGTGAAATAAGTCTATCAGAGAAAGACAACTGACACATGTGTTCACTCATATGTGAAACAGGAGACACACCACAGAGGATCAGAGGTTTAGGGAGGGAAAACTGAATGGGAAGTCATCAGAGAGGGAGGAAAACCACGAGAGACTCTTCATTATAGAAACAAACTGAGGAGTGCTGGAGGGGAGGTGGATGGGGGATGAGGTAACTGGGTGATGGGCATTAAGGAGGGCATGTGATGCAATGAGCACTGGGGGTTATACACACCTGATCTATTATTGAACACTACATCTGAAACAAATGATGTATTATAGGTTGGCTCATTGACATTCAGTTAAACAAAAAGAACTCAAGCAAACACTCCTAAAAATCTGTAGGGAACCACCAAAGATACTGAACAGCCATTGCAATGTTGAGAAAGAAAAACAAAGCTGGAAGAGTCACAATTCCTGATTTCAAGTTATACTACCAAGCTGTAGTCATCCTAACAGCATGGCACTGGCACAAAAATACACACAGCAACCTAGGGAACAGAAGAGAAGCTCAGATATAAACCCGCAATGGTGTGGCCAATTAGTCTTCCACAAAGCAGGCAAGAATATTGAAAAGGAAAAGGACCGTCTCTCCAACAAACCGTGCTGGGAAAACATCTACTCACAGAAGAATGCAATTACTTTGCTTCCTTACACCATACAGACACATAAACTCAAAACAGTTTCAAGACCTCAACGGAAGACCTGAAACCATAAAAATCCTACAAGAGGGCACAGACAGTAACTTCTTGACATGGACCAAAGCAACATTTTTCTAGACTGTCTCCTGAGGCAAAGGAAATAAAAGCAAAAATGAACAACTGGGACTATATCAAAATAAAAAGTTTCCGCACAGCAGAAGAACTAGGAAGAAAGAAGTAATAATAAGAAGACAACCTATTAAAAGGGAGAAGGTATTTGCAAATATCTTATGCAGTAAAGAGGTAGTGTCCAAAATATGTGGAGTGGATACAACTCAATACCGAAAAACAATCCAGTTAAAAAATAGTCCAAAGACATGAACGGACATTTCTCCAAAGAAGAAATACAGATGGCCAACAGTCCCAAGAAAAGATGTTCACCATCACCCAAGCTCAGGAAAATGCAAATCAGAAGTATAATGAGATATTAGCACATACTGCCAGAATGGCTCCCATCAACAGCACAAGGAACAGCAGGTGCTGGGAGGGTGTGGAAAAAGGGACCCTTCTGCACTGTTGGTGGAACAGCAACCTGCTGCAGCCACTCTGGAAATCAGTCCCCCAGACGTTACAAGTAGAGCTAGCCTAGGATCCAGCAACCACACTACTGGGTATTTACCCAAAGCATACAAAAACAATAACACAAAAGGATGTATGCACCCCTACATTTCTTGCAGCATTATTTACAAGGTCACAATATGGAAGCAACCCAAGTGTCCATTGATAAAGTGCTGAATGAGCTCAGAGGTATGGACACACACACACACACACACACACACACACAGTGGAAATTTACTCAGCCATAAAAAGAATGAAATCTTGCCATTTGCAGCCACATGGATGGATCTAGAGAGGATTATCCTAAGTGAAATCAGTCAGTCAGAGAAAGACAATACCATATGATGTCACTCTTGTGTAGAATTGAAGAAACAAACATACATAAATAAAGGAGAAAAAAGAGACAAACCAAAATACAGATTCTTAACAGCAGAGAACAAACTGAAAATTACCAAAGCGGGGGGTGAATGGAGGGTTGAGTGAAATCGATGAAGGGGATTAAGAGTACACTTTTCTTTTCTTCTTCTTTTTTTTTAAATATTTATTTACTTGACAGAGATCACAAATAGGCAGAGAAGCAGGCAGAGAGAGAGGGGAAAGCAGGCTGCCTGCTGAGCAGAGAGCCCGATGCGGGGCTTGATCCCAGAACCCTGGGATCATGACCTGAGCTGAAGGCAGAGGCTTTAACTCACTGAGCTACCCAGGTGCCCTGAGTACACTTTTCTTGATGAGCAGTGAGTATTATATAGAATTACTGACTCATGCTATTGTACACCTGAAACTAATACAACATTGTATGCTAACTTGGCTGGTATCAAAATAAACAATAAAAAAGATTTTTCTTTCAGTAACCTATTTGAAAAAGCTTTGATACACAATGTTCATATGTCCTACTTCGGAGTACTTTCTCATCACTATTTATTCCCTCTATGCCTCCAATTCAACTTTCAGTAAATTCTTATATTTTACCTGTTAATCCTAGCCCACAGGAGCCATGGTCCCTTTTTATCCAGGATCAGCACCTGTGCATTCAAGAGAGTGTAAGCAGAGAAAGATGCCATGTTATAATCCAGAAAGCTACTGCTGTTTCTGTTTTAGTACAAGATGGTCACAGAGTGTGGGACAGGTTTCAAAGCTGGTTTGTTCTCTATCCTGGATCACTAATTCAGTGGTCATGACTTGGATCCATTTGGCTACTAGATTTCCTGTAGACAAGCTTGCTTCCAAGTGCATCCATGGAAGACACAAAGGTGGGTGGGCTCAGTGTAGGATAGGAAGAGGATCAAGTACAGACAAGGGTATGATCCCTCCCCTGATCCAGGAACTGCCATGTATGTGGGTATGGGACACAGAAGCAAGAGGAAGCCACCAAGCTCCCCAGCTGAATGCTGGAAGTGCAGGTCAAGGGATCTCGTGATGTGGGGTGTAGAGGCTGCTCTGAGCTACTTCTGGGGGTCAGAGGGGGGAAGGAATCAGAAAGAGATACTGCCTGCCCTGGCCCATGCCACCTGCCCACTGCTCCTGGCACACATCAGTCTACACTGCTGACACAGCCTGGGCTCAGGATGGACTGGCTCATGTCCCCAGCACTCAGCGGGGCAGCTGGCTCCAGGGCTGAGGGACATGCAGAGGGCAGTGGCAGGGAAGGCTGGACCTCCAAGGTCATCCCATCTTTGAGCAGACATCCCTGCAGGACTGCTGAAAACCCACTGAGAGATTTGAAAGACATTCCATGGATGAACTACGGTATGGAGAAACACAAAACAATATTGGTTTTTAAGGTTACAGCTGTCACCTGAGGAAGTATGACAGCTTCCCTGAGGAGGAGTGAGGGGAGGGGAGGGCAGGCCAGGCTGAAAAGGAAGATGTGGGTCTCCTGATCGGGGACCAGCAGCCTCCTTCCAGGGCAGGGCATCATCCTCACCTCTCAGGGGATTGATGGAAGTGTTCCATCAGGGGACTGACAGAGCTGCCTCTTGAGATAGCTACCCTG